TTGCTATGAACTCAAAAGGACTCTTATCTGCGGCCTTCTTCTTCCTCATCTTCTCAACCATTTTCTTCTTCATATTCGCCGGCACTTCAATGCCATCGAACAGATCCGGATCTTCTTCCAGATATCCGTAGAGATCTGTTAATGTCGTCGAATTGAATGACTTATCGGTAGCGCAGAGATTGGTCTTAAAACCCGATTGAATTAACTCTAAATCATATGAATTGATCTCTTCTTTGGATTTATTCAACTCTTCGTTCAAATTGTCTGCAAATGTCTCAATCGATGTCTTGAATTTCAAAACAATATTGGCTTTAAGTTTAACAATAATAGTCTTATCGATGGCCTCGTCGTCGGCGACCACTTCGTCACTGCATTCGCAAAAGTCTTTTGACTTGATGTCAAAGAAGCGGATCTTCGGGTCGTTTTGGTCGTCAATTGTGGTCAAAACGACAAGTTTTCCGCTTTTCTTGCTTTTGCTTGACTTCACACACAAATCAATCAATTGCTGATCAGATGGAGAGGGAGTCAGACAATAGACGCCGAGACACGCGGTGCCCGCCGGCAGCTCCTTATCGTCACCGCAAACACATCCCAAACAATAGCTCACATTATTGTCGGACAAATCGGTAAAACCGAAGACCAGTCCGCACTTAAATTCATCGGCAATTTGTGACGAAATACGTGAGAAGTGTTGGAAGCGCTGCAGAAGAAGAAGAATCACCACAAATAGTATGTCGTTAACAAATTGGTCTCAAATTATCATTAAATGGCATCAAAACAAACCTCACGAAGACTTTGGACAATCTTGAATACTTTGGCCGACATTTTGCGACAACAATCAACGGATCCGACGAATTATGAAAAGAGATAATCACATGAAATAGTGGCACAAAATGTGTGACAAAAACTGATGAATGGCTTCAATGAAAACGTGTCCAAAACAATAGTCACGTGTTTTGTGAGTGACGTTACGCTCAACACAACAGACATCCCATTGACGTCATCACCACTTAAGGAGACGACAAAAGTTTGGCAAAACTTTTCATTTCATCACATTTTGTTTGACCACAAGAAGTACTAATGATATTAGAGACACACTATGGATGTCTCACTCCATGTCCAGCCAATGGATGCAACTGTTGGTTAAGTATTATAATAATAACTTTTTTCGTTATAAAAATAGTTTTTTTTTCATTAAATAAATGATTTTTATTAATAATTAAGTCAATTATTTAATATTACATAAAATGTTTTAAACCAAAAGCTGCCGACACTTACAGTATATTATAGTATAAAACGACAGAAAAAAACTTATTTTTCTCATTACTCTATTCAATAGTGTATTCATAACGCATTTTTATCTATTTTTTGTACAAATTGTCACCGGTTTTGATCTTAAAAACAAACACACGAGTGGTAACCGTCAAAATCAATCGATGGCTTAACTCGGGTTCCCTTAAAAACATTTAACTTTCATATTATAATTAGTTTTGCTTTTTCTGAAATAACAATTAAAATTACAATAACTATATGTTGGTGTGAATTGATGGGGGAATGCATACAAACAAATACATGTATTCAATTCAGTCAAACACTTACATAACATAAGCCCAACAATTTACGGATCACTCGCTTTTCATTCATATTTATACAAATTCTATACACATTTTGTATCATTC